TGGCACGCTGTGTTTCTTTGTCCAGGACATTAATTATATTTCAGATGCAGCCTTTGTAACAAATGTTAAAGGGTGAAAGAGAGGGGAAGCTGATGCTGTCAGTTTGAGGAAATAGAGCCAAACTTCTGTGTGCAGAGTTGTTATCCAGCTACCTTTTAGTTGGATCATGATACTCCTGTGGCACGAATAGAGGAAGCTAAAAGCAAACCTTCATGTTTCACCTTCTCTAAAAAGGAACCTACCCATGGTGTTAGTTCCACATTCTCAGTGATCAGAGCACCATCAGCTCTTTTTCCCACTGACAGTCCAAAGGCTTTAACTGAGAAACAAGCAGACCGAGGATTACTACATCTGTTTAATTATCTCACCTATAGGTTTATGTCTTGATGTCCATCATGTTCATGACTGTCAGGCTTGTTCCTGTGAGTTTGCTGCAAACAAAACACATCCATGTCTCAGTATGCTGTTCTTTATAATCACATTGTACTTATCAACATATCAAAGCAACAAAATGTGTAGTTTGTTAGCATATAATGTTAACATTTAGATTTAGCTTTTTTAATATTTAGTTTGGATTTGAACTCAGTGCTCCTTTTTCAAAGACTCATTCTCAACCTTTTCATCTTCATAGAGCTGCAAAGGGCTGAGATTTACCAACTATTAACAAAGTGAAGAATCAAAAAGACAAAGGAAAGTCAGCTCTTACACGCCTGTGGCTCTGCTGTAGTTTATCATTTTTTTCACAGCGGGACGGCGCTGGTTTGCTGGAACGGAGCAAAGCTCCTGTTGGAAAGCGTCTGATGGAGCCAATCCACAACAGGAAGACTTTCTGAGACAGGCAGATGTCTTAACCACACTTTTTAGTCACATGGTTGGAAACAGGCTTTTGTCATACAGAGCTGTGCCTGTGAGTGATAAATTCATCTTAGTATCACAACAAGTCCCTATTCTACTCTGCAGGTTTTCCATATCTAATGCTGCTAACCCATTGAACACAAAGCTTGTTGTTGTTGATTACACTAATGATTTGTTTTATATTAGGAACAACCATTAATTTTATTTTCAGTTTACAACATTATCTTGTGATGTGTAGAATAGAACACGTGTAAATAGAATAAAATAGAATAGAATAGAAAATCATTTTGTTTTCCCACAATTGGTAAATTCTGGGGTTTACAGCAGCAAAATGATTACCGTACACAAAAATCATAAGAATAACATAATAGCGAAAAGTAAAAAAATAAACAAATAAAATACTGTACTGTAAAGTGTTTTAACAAGAAAAATACTTTGCACCTGGAAAATAGCCTCGTTTTCACAATACAATATTTTATTGTAGTATGTTTTTAAAGTTGATCTTTGTTTATCAAACTTAGCGCTGGGATTGCTGATAATCCAAAAGGTATCAATCCTACATTAGTTGATGTTCTGCTGTTAAATAAAACAAGAGTCAGAGCTGCAAAAACAAAACCTTTTTATTAAGATATAATACAGTGAAATGCATTAAAGTTGAGGTGACCTCAACACGTCATTATTTTAAACAGACTGCAGAAAACTATTGCAGCCATACAGTAACTTTAACTGTAATGTTTGGTAATGCAGCCAAACATGTGCAACATGTAAAAACGTACCATACTTTTGAACTAATAAGGTAATGAAATAAAGGCTCCCATTGTCCTTTATTTTGCTACAAAACCATTCCAAGTCCATTAATCTTTCGGGACGTGCAGAAACATGAGGGCTGGTCCAACTGTTCTTCTTCTCTTTTACCTTCCTGCTTCTTGCATCGATCCACTTGATTATTCTTCTGCTAGAGGTTGGGGTGATTCCAATGAAGCATTGGAAGTTACATGATTAAAGAAAAGGACACATATTAAAATACATTGTTTGCAATAGGCAGTAGAACCCAAGACGTTGTGGAGAGAAGTTGATCAATTTTCCAAATATGCAAAAGTGCAAAACTAATATCTTCTTTGATTTCAGATGTGGAGGTCAAGGTATTCTATTAGTATAGCTGTTTACTCAAAGAGATCACATAGCATCATAATAAACGTTGCATTAGAGAAACCAGGAACAAACATTTGGATGGTGCCCCCAAGAACACCAGACATCATTTAGCAATGGTTTTTTGGCTACATCTGGTCGGTCCGTCAAAGTCTTGATTTAGCTCAGAAATAGCTGTTAACAATCAGGCTGTGTTTGGCCAGTCTGATGTCCCACGTTTGGACAAAAGCCGTAACTTTTAGATTGTTGAAAAGACTTTGAAAACTTCTTTCAATGTCCTGAAACTTGTTGTTTGGATGTCTTTCCAACCAATATTTGCTCAGAGGGGCAGCTCTTCTTTCTAGGAATCCGACCAAATGTATTAGTCCTCCAAAACAATGACAGCAGGGTGCAGACCAGGAAGCAGGGTGCAGACCAGGAAACAGAGTCGTAGTTTAACACATCTCTTTGCAGCTTCTCTACTGTTTACTCCATCCAGTGTGTTTCCAACGACCAAAATCAAATTAATTATAAAAGAATCATAAATGAGTAAATCATGAAAATCAATAAAAATTAAAATGATACCAATCAGGGCAAAAGGCAGGTATTGTGGTTTATTTAACATACGATCTCTTTCCTCAAACAGTCTGCTAGTTATTGATTTGATTTGTGATAATCACATTGATTTATGTTGCCTTACAGAAACTTGGCTGCAGCAAGAGGATTATGTAAGCATAAATGAGGCAACTACTTCTACTTATTCAAATTTTCACATACAAGAGGAGCACACAAGGAGGAGTAGCGTCAGTCTTTCAGTCTGACTTGCTGATTATGCCAAAGACAGTTAATAATTACTCTTGTGAGCATTTAACCCTTAGTTTCCCTAATCCAAATTGCCTAGCGAGAAAATCTCTTCTTTGTATCGTCCACCAGGTCCTTACTCTGAATTTTTAGATGAGTTT